AGATGATTGGTAATGGGGCTTGCATCGGCTAGTCTAGACATAGTTAGATACAGCTGATAGCACTAGTGGGGGTGACAAGTTTTGTGCCACAAAACAGACTCCTCAAAAGCAATGGTGGATTATTTTTTCCTCTCCCCACATATGTCTTGGGTTCTTTGTGAACTCTGTCCCCTTTCCTTTGAGAATACCTGTCTGGGGCTCCCCAGTTAGGGCAGGGGTTAAAGTCTCAGTGCTGTCAAACTATCTCCAGCCACTGCAGCCTGAGTTTGGCCTGAGTTCCATCCCCGGCCAGGGAGCTACCCACATGGCGCAGCAGACCTCTCCTGTCTTGCCCGCTGCTCCTCTCAGCAGTGGATTTCAGTAGATCTGTCTGTCCTGCTCCCCACTCTGTCTCTGATGAAACCTCTCACCCCCTCCCCCACACCTTGGGTCTACACCCCAGTTCTTGTATCCATAAATAATAAAAGTAACCTTTTAAAATAACAATAAAATTAAAATACTTGCCCGGTGGGTGTTTCCACTGTAAATCTTGAACTTTCATAAAGCAGGTAATACAGCTAAGCAATGTGCTGTTCTCTTTGGTCCTGTACAGATTGCCATTTTCTCAGAGAAAGAAAACCACCCTCCTGTCAAGGAATCTACTAGGGGAAACTGCTTCAAGACACATCATGTCCCCGTCACCCCCAACTCATCTCCTGTGCTCTGGACCCTCAATGTTGAGTCCACCTCCAGGGATGGAGACCTAGATGCAGAGACTTGGAAATGTCTAAAAAAGTCAGGCGATCCTACAGCGGCTGGAGACCCTAGCCTCCAGCTCCACTACCACCTCCACCCCTGGCCGCCGGTCCTACTTTGGCTTTGATGGTGCTCGGGGAAGAAGAGTTGACTGGAGTTTCACCTGTGGTGTGTTCAAAGTTAACCGAGGCCCCAGGGTCCCTGAGAAGCCCTGGGTCCCAGACACAAATCTTCCTGGAATCTCCCCCCCAGTTGTGAAGGAGAAACGGAAGAAGAAGAAGGTGCCGGAGATCCTGGTGAGTGAGGGACAGGGGCCTTTGCTGATGTGCTCACATGCGCAGGGCTAGGGTTCAGTGCTGGCTGTTTGGGGGGAGAGGCAGCACCTGTCTGTGTGGGTAAAGATGCTCCAGCTCACGGGATTCCCTCTCTACTCACCCACCCATTTCTTTTCCCCAGAAATCAGAGCTGGATGAATGGGCTGCAGCCATGAATGCTGAGTTTGAAGCTGCTGAGCAGTTTGAGCTCCTTGTTGAATGAGATGAAATGGGGGCGCGCCTGACCAAACTCCCCTCGCCTCCCTGTCCATAGCACCTCCCTGTGAAGGACTCTTGGGGCTCCTCCCCTGCCTGTGAGCTGTTGCTGCATTGAGGCCTATCATCTCAGCTTCAGGAAACGGGCTCTCCTGGCTCTGCCACGGGCCCTCCTGGCTCTGCCACGCATGGCCCCTCCTCCTACCTGCTTCCAGATCTTCAGCCAGTTTCCATTTGGGCCACAGACTCAGGAGCAGGAACCACTGGCCCGGCCAGCAGAGGCTTTGGGGCGGGGAGTCCTGCCCTTGCTGGGAAAGGTGGCTGCTCCCGCATGGCCCTGGACTTGCCCCGTGAGCAGCTGGGTTCCGGCCGGCCACACACTGTGGAGGGAGGGAGGCTTGGGTTTCCTCTGAGATGCTCCAATGTCCTGGCAAGTCTGGGGGCCTTGCGGAAGACGCGGGGACTCAGCCTGCGGTCTGGGTGTGAAGAAGGCGGGAAACCTTGCTGGGTCTCTGGCCCTCCGTCTGCCACACGCAAGCTGTGCTGTATGGCTCTGTGTTCTGCTCTTGGGGTGTCTGGTGGACTACCAGGCTGGTGGTGCACCTGCTGCTTGGGGCACGAGGGTGTATTTCAGGGTGTGACTCCAGATTCAGGGTGTCGGGCTCAGAAGCCCTCATGGGGCTGGGCCAGGGCCTTACACATCACTGCAGGTGCGGGGGTGTTGCCACACCCACCCCCTCCCTGACGCCTTCTGTACAAAGTCAAATGGACAATCTGGCAACTTGGAAGAAAAACGTGGGCTGAGGGTACTGATCCACTAGTGTCTTGCAGCTGCATTAGTAAAGTTCTAGAAGGCTTTTCTCGTGTGCCAAGATGGTGGCAGGATAGACAGCAGTTTTACCTTTCAGCTCTGGTGTCCTCTCCTGTGAAAAGCTGCCTGAGGGGGGTGCTAGGAGTTGAATTGGTGAGACGGGTGACTCATTGTCTCCAGGGAACCTTCCCCATCATTTACCCTTCCTCAGCTGTGCTTTCAAAGGCTGCCCACAGCTCGCACTTGCTGCCCTCGAGACAAAGGGCTGCAGAAGGGTGGCAGTGGCGAGCGCGCTGGGGGAATGGCTGCTTCTGGGACACATGGCAGTGTGGTGCAGGCTGATCCCTGGCCTGCGAGTGCCAGAGAACCTGTTAGATGCTTCGAACTTTGTCAGACTCTGCAAGTAAGCCACCTCGCCAGGGTGTGTCCAGATGCACCCGAAGTCGCACCCGAAGAATTCCTGTCCTTCCTGACCGGTGGGCAGCACTCCAGAGAGTCTTGCTTAGTTCTGCAGAATCGGAGTGGCCAGATGGTGTTGAGTTAGTTCATGTTATTGCTGCAAACTCTGACCCCAAAAAACTTAAGAATGTAGAGTTTTAAGGGAAATTTATGATTTCTTTTTAATATAAGCTGATTAAAGAGTTTCTTCCTGTTTCTACATTGTATTTCCTTTACTGGGTCAAAGGCTGGGGGGACTGGGGGGTAGGCCCAAGAGGCCAGGACCTCTTAGAGCTGGGTCATTAGTTGTCCTTTGTGTGGGGGTAGCCGCGTGGAAACTCGGCGCCCCTCCCGCATCATCTCTGTGCAGTCTTGCACTCCAAGCCAGGGCCTCCTGCAGAAAGGAGTCCTGCACCTCCCTGGTGGTGCAAGGGGTTAAGAGTCAGCACTATGAAGCTGTCCGCAGCCTCTGCAGCTCAAGTTCGATCCCCAGCCAGGGAGCAACCCACATGGCGCAGCAGACCTCTCCTGTCTCCCCGCTGCTCCCCTCAGCAGTGTATTTCAGTCAGTTGCCTGTTCTGTTTCCCACTCTGTCTCTGGTGAGTCCTCTCACCCCACCCCACCCGCATCTCTGGCCTGTACCCAGCTCTTGTATGCATGAATAAATCTTCTAAAAAAAAAAATTGAAAGCAGCGGCTCAAAGATACTTGTGTATACCCAGCACTATACACAACAGCCACATGGTGGAGACAACAAAGTGTGCATCTGCGGTTCATGGATAAAACACAGTATGTGCGTGGAATGGAGTGTTATTTAACCTTGAAAAGGAAGAACATTCTGATTCAAGCTACCACTTAGATGAACCTTGAAAATATGCTAAATGAGCCAGACATGAACGGACAAACTCTATGACTCCACTTACAATTACAGGAGGTACCTAACCACGTCCGCGAAGACGGAAGGGAGAAAAATGGGGGCTGGGGTAGTGGGAGGGCAGAGTGGGTAGTTTGATGGGAGTGGTTTTGGTAAGGGAAGGTTATGCCCTGGCCTTGGGTGGCCATGGCTGCCTGGTAAGGGACCGCACTTGGTGGCACGGAACTGCACACTTCAAATGGTACATTTTATTACACGTTTTGCCACAATAAATACTTTTTTCCAAAAACTCTGGCGTGTCCCATTGTGATGCGGTGCCGTGGATGGCTGTGGGGTTTGGGTTGCCCACCTCAGCCTCCACAAGTCTGCCGGCTGCAGGGACCCCTCTCCCTCCCGGGCCATAAAGTGGCCACACCCCTGCTCCCCCAGCCCTGCACCGGGGTGTGGACCCCCTGGGTTCAGCTGGTCAGATTCCCACCCGGAGTAGGAGCCAGGAAGAGGGAGGGAGAAAGGAGGATTCAGCCCCGGGGTTGGGGGGAGGAGACGGGAATGAGCCTCATGGCACGTCCTGCCTTTGAATCTTGCTCCTGGGTGTCCTGCGACTCCCGTCTCCTTCCAAATCAACTGGAAACCGGCGGTTTTCCCTCCCTGTTTGCAGTCCCGACCCCCTCTCCTTCAGGGCCGTGCAGACTCTGTCGCTTCTCTCCACTCCCCGGCTGCGGGCCACGCCCCGGGTCTTAAGGCCCCTGAGCCCCTGGAGCTGTGAAGCTCGGCCTCCCAGGTTTGCTCCTCCCGGCTCCTGCCTCTTGGGCTGGGTCCCACGTCAGTCAGGTCTCCCGGCTGGGCTGGCGCATCTCCTTGGTCCAGCCTGTCCTGCCGCTCCCCCGCCCCCCCTCCGGGTAGAGTGATGCGCTCAGCAAGCGCAGGGCAGGCGGGTGAAGGAGCGCCCCGGAGCCCTCCGTGGCTTTTTCAGGCTTTGATGCTCTTTCTATGCCTATTCTTGTGGGGCGAGCCCGCAGGCTGCTAAGGCAGGGAGGCCGGGAGAGTTGGGAGGCGGGCGGGCCTCCCAGGCCCCGGTGATTCTTTGCTCTTTTCTTTCTCTTTGGGCTCTCTCGGGCGTCGTCTCGTGGTCCTGCGTGTGTGTGGCCACTTGTCCTCGCGTAGCCCCCGCCATAGCTGCTTCTCATCTCTGAGGGACGCCGCCCCTACAGCCCAGCCTCCAGGCTCAGGCGCGCTGCAGGAGTCCACCCTCTGGCACATGTGCCCCAGCCCATGGGTAAGAGCAGAGTCCAGCGCCCAAGAGGATTTGTGTCCTGGCACTGCCTTTTCTAGCTGTGTGGCCGGGGATCGAACCGGCGCTGCAGAGGTTGCGGGCAGCCTCGCAACCCAGCGCTCAACCGCTGCGCCACCGGGGAGGCCCCAAATCTTCCGTTTTCTTATTTGTAAATGGGAAGAACGGCAGTGCCGGCCCCATGGTGTTACGGCGAGGGTGAGCTGAACTAACACACGTTACCCCAGGTAGAGCCGACCTCTCCGCGTCTTAACTTCCCGATGCCTGCACATACCCGCGTCGCTGCGCCCTCAGCTCTCGTCTGGTGATTTCAGCACACACATCTGTACAGTAATCTCAGCTCCCCGAGGGTGGAACACTCTCAGATCTGTCCTCGACCCCCACATGTCCGCCTTTGTGGATCTGGTTATGCTCTGCCAGCTCCCCGGGGGACAGATCAAAACCCGGGACAGCTCCCAGCCTCGGGTATCCTTACCAGCCGCAGCTGGGCGCTGGCTCCGCTGCGGGCCCACCTGTCCAGGGGGACATGGTAGCTACGCAGAGAAAGTGAGGGCTGAGTTCTGATCTGAAGAGAGGGAGGGAGGGTCAGGGTGAAGGCAGAAGCTGGGGCAGGGACACTGCAGGGGGGCAGTTCAGGTTGGTGTGGGGACAGGAGGCTCCTGGCTGGTGTGAGCAGAGGCTTGTTCTGGGACAGTGGAGAATTCAGGTTAGAATCCTGCGAAAGAAGGGAATGCGGATCTCGAATGCCACACGGCTTGCTTTGGATAAGCTTCTCATTGATGATTTCTCACAAAATGCGAGAAACCTTCTATAGAACTCCCTTAAGTAGTGCTGATGTCCCATTCCTGCACCCCTGCCTGCGTCCCTCCAGCCCCCACATTTTGCATTTGCAGGGATTTAGCTTAAGAACCACTGTTGGCATATATTTTGGGTAGTGTTGCCAGATAAACCCAATGACATTTGATTTTCACATAATCATTTTTTACACACTCCAAACATTGCATAGAACATAATTATACTTCTTCAAAGTGACCCTTTTTCATCTGAAATTCAGATGTCACTGAGTGTTTTGTATTTTATTTGCAAAATCTGGTTTGCTGGTGGTGAGGACTCTCCAGGTTGGAGGCTGTCCCAACTGCCCTTCTGTCTCTCTCCCTCAGGGCCCCAGGGGCAAACAAAAATCCTCCAAGCCCGTCAAGGAGCCAGGAGTGCAGTCTGCTCAGGAGCAGAAGCCAGAAATTTCTCAGGACTCCAAGGAGCAGGTCACAAAGGTGACAGAAAGCACCAGGACCTCCTAAGCCAGAGGGTAGAGGTGGCAGGGGGTGGAGAAATCCTCCTTCTCCGGCCTGGGTGGAGGATCGGAATCCCTGCCATTGCACCCACCATCTTTCTGTTGGATGTGGGAGGAGTCAGGCTTCCTGGCGGCCACCCTCATGCCACTTCTGTCTCCACGACAGACACCATCTCTGCCTCAGCAGCCATCCCCAGAGCAAAAGCTGGACCTGCAGCCAGAACCCACGGTCAACTTCCTGTTTACACTCCTGAACACGGAGGAGCCCCCGGAGCCCAAAGACTCTGAAAGGTAAGGCTGTGTGAGTGTGCACAGGACGGGGGGCACAGGTGCTCCCCCATCCACCAGCATTCAGACCTGGCCAGCACTCAAGCCTGGGGTGTGCAGAGGGGCCGTCCAGACAGGCCTGGAGGAGCCCCAGACCCTCTAAACTCCCCCTCCGGGTCAAGACCCTTTAGTCCAACACTCACTGCACCAGGTACTGGGAGATTCAGGAGCACCAGCTCCTGGGGAAGGACGACTGGGGCCCCCAGCGCACCGTGAAGGAGTTCAGAGACCTGCGGGATGACTGCGTGAGGTGAGCCGGCCCAGGGGGCAGGTAGGGCGCCAACCCTGTCCCCGGGGGCTCAGGCCCTGGGCTTGAGAGCTAGAGGTTTGCACCTTCACTTGCCCTCTCAGTGCCCCCCCAAGGGGGGGAGAGCCCCTTTCCTCCTAAGCATTGGTGAGTTTCCTCGTCTGTGAGCAGGTCCTGCCTGCTCTGCCCAGCCTGCTCTCTCCTGCCCATCAAGTGTGGGCCCGCATGCCTGATCACTGGGTCTAGCAGCTCAGGCAGCACGTCTGGGGAGTGGGGGGGGGGTGCTGGGACAAGAGCCTGGGGCTGAAGGGAGTCTCTGTGTCAACCCCAGGCTTCAGAAGTTGCTAAGCATTAACCTAGCAGACAACCTGGCTCTGGGGCTGAAGCTACAAGACCTGGTGAGACCCTCAGATCAGGGCCCTCTCCCTTTGTCCTGATTCCTTCCCGCCCAGCCTGGCTCTCCCGCGGAGGGCCTCAGCTAGTCCCGCCCGGGGTCCTCTCCCCACCCCGACCCCTGTCACTCTTTGTTCTAGTCCAGCTCATTCTATAAGTGTCTGAAGGACAAAGTGAAGGCTGTCCAGGAACAAGTGAAGGTTGTCCAGGAGGAAGTGAGGACAGTCCAGGAGGAAGTGAAGGTCATCCAGGAGGAAGTGAAGCTCTTCCAGGAGGAAATGAGTGCTGTTGGGGAGGAAGTGGAGGTCGACCAGGAGGACTCAAAGGCCTTCGAGGAGGAAAAGAAGGTCATCCAGGAGGAAGTGAGGGGTGTCCAGGAGGAAGTGAGGGGTGTCCAGGAGGAAGTGAGGGGTGTCCAGGAGGAAGTGAGGGGTGTCCAGGAGGAAGTGAGGGATGTCCAGGAGGAAGTGAGGGGTGCCCAGGAGGAAGTGAGGGGTGTCCAGGAGGAAGTGAGGGGTGTCCAGGAAGAAGTGAGGGATGTCCAGGAGGAAGTGAGGGGTGCCCAGGAGGAAGTGAGGGATGTCCAAGAGAAAGTGAGGGGTGCCCAGAAGGAAGTGAGAGGTGTCCAGAAGGAAGTGAGGGGTGTCCAGGAGGAAGTGAGGGGTGTCCAGGAAGAAGTGAGGGATGTCCAGGAGGAAGTGAGGGGTGTCAAGGAAGAAGTGAGGGATGTCCAAGAAAAAGTGAGGGGTGCCCAGAAGGAAGTGAGAGGTGTCCAGAAGGAAGTGAGGGGTGTCCAGGAGGAAGTGAGGGGTGCCCA